TTTTGCTTATTCTAAAAAAAAAGTTAATATAATAAGTATATTCAAATAGTTTAATTAATCGTTCAGGTATCCGTGATTACCCTCTGTAGATCTCAGTGATAAAGAGTTTACCGCAGATTTTACTTTTGTAGCTGCATCTCAAGTACGTATCCTCAAAGATCTTCTCTTCAAACCATTCAACTTTGAGAGACTTCAGCGTATTAAAGACTGCAAAAGGTTAAAAGAAAGGTTAGACAAAGAAAAACATTTAATTTTCATGATATCAAGAAACTGAGTCATATACAATAAAGTATAATAATATTGTTTCAAAATTTAGATCTAAAGTTCTAACAAAAATATTGTGATTTTTTTTTTAACAAAAATAAAAAATTCAAAGTAAATCTTTATAACACGTAATACCATTCGTAATATACGTAACTTTATTTTTTATTTATAATACTTTTTACAAATTTATTTTTTTTTTATCTTGTTTATGTTTATGTTTTTTTTTATTAGCACAAAATTTTCAATTAGACGTGATGCGTGCGAACATCTAGATATCGCTACATGATTTTAATTTTTATAAACCACCTAATAATATATAGTCCTTCGCTTCATTTTGGACAATAAACTACTGTAGTTTTATTTAGTATAAGGCCGAACTAATTTAATCTTCTGTTTAACAAATTTTCCTCACCTAATTTTGATATAATAATAAATATATTATAATTTTTAGTTATTCTTATAAAGTAAATAATTTCTCCCCCCTCAAAAATTTCAATTTTTATAAAATTATTTTATATAATATGAATAGCGTAATTAAAATATATATCATGTGTTCATAGATAAATGCGATTAAATTTCAATTTTTATTACACTAACATGTGTGTAATATTACATACTACTAGTTTATGCTATTGGTTCATCTTTAAATAAAATATTTCTTTTTCTCTCTGTTGCGTCTTTAAGAAACTTTCTTTTAATAAAACTTCATAAAATATGAAACCATATTTATTTGTTTCAGTACAAAGAAATAGATTATCAATAGTTAAAGAATCTGCAACTAGTATTGAATCTCCTAGCACTATTGCAGACCTTTTTTTAGCAGCAACCTCTTTTTATGAATTACCACCTGCAAATATTCAAGTTTGTTTTCAAATACATGGTTCTTTACAGTGACATGATATAAAAATAGATATAGAAGAAAACCTTGATTTACTTGTTTATTTAAAAGCATACCATATTCGGTTTTCTTTAAATGATAGCATCATTTCATTATTACCTGATAAAAATATACCAAATGCATTAGAAACTTTAATACAGAACTCTAAAAAACTTCAGCTTCTACCTGCTAAAAGTTATGCAATAAGACTCGATTTATTATATAATCATCTTTTGGAAATACTTCAGAAAAAGAATTAGGATAGACTGGTGGCCTTCATTTATCTACAGGAAAGGATTTTGTTAAACGATTAACAAACCTTATTTGGTATATTGATTCATACTGGCATAAATTTACAAGACGCTCTTTTTATATGCCACTATTTGTTCAACAATTACCAGAATATCAAAAAGATCGAGTTTATAATCTTTATTATGAAGAGTCACATCATAAAAAAGAAGAAATCAGTAGTGAGAGGTTATACTAACATATAGATTCAGTTCAAAAATCAATAGTACAACCATGGGCTTTAAAATCAAAATGGGAATCATTTCAAATAGAAGTGATACAACTTTGTGAAGCATGCCAAAATTATATTAGATATTTAGAGTAAGTTAATAATCAAATGCGGATAATATATGACAGTTCTATTCCTATACAAAATAGAATTGATCATATTAAGGTTGAAGATTTACCAATATGTGAAGATATTAAACCAAAGTATCAACCAATTATAAATATTTTAAATACAGTTAGGGAATTTGAACCAATATGTATTGATGAATATTTACCTGTTAACTCTTTAAAAAGACCTGTCTTTTTAAAAGAAATGAGTTTATCTTCACCAATGACTTTATATATATACTATTATGGAAATTATCTTGGTAATTTACATTGAATTTGAAAAAAAATAAAGAAATTAACGATAATACTAAAACATTAGAAACTCAAGCTATTTTGAAAGTGTATGATGAAATTCCAAAATATAGTACTCGTCAAATGTGTAAAAATATTATAAATAAGGTAATATATAGTAAATTAATTATTAATATAATATCTTATTAAGCTAATATTTTTTTTTATAGTATTTTTTTTTTATCAAACTTTCTCTATCAGTAATTCGTGAAATATATCAAGATATTACCGGTGACGCTGCTGCAAATAATGATACAATCTTTAAAGAAATATGTAAACGAATAAAATTTGTACTTCAAATAAAAGATCCTGATATTATTTGTAATTTACGAGTTAATAATGGATTTCAAGGTACAAGATTTGATGATTTTTAGAACGCAATGTAAGAATATTTTAATAATGTAAGTATTAAATATTTATATAAAATCTACTCATTTATATATAATATAAATATAATAAATAGGCTTATAGTTAAATGCTATATTAAAAAAGATATTTGTTTTTATATAGAATCTTCCTGCAGTTTATGAGCGGTGTACAAAACAAATAATGTATATGCCAATTGCTATTTCTGTTCGAGATCTCTATAAGGCTGTAATTGAAATATTAAAAGAAAAAAGTAATCAAGAAACTTTTGAAAAAATCAATATACCAAGTATTGAATGGATTCGCTTACAATTTCAACCAAAAAACCAATATGCAAAAAATGCAATTCAATATACTGGTCGATTTAATATAGAATATAAAGTACAAAGTAGACTTCTTCAAAAATCACACCCAGATTCTTATTATTGTGCTGCTTTATTTAAATATGAAAGACAATTTGCAATTAAATTTCGTAATTACACAACTTTTATATGTGCTGATGATAAGCATAAGATTGGAATTGGAGAGGATATACCTGTATCAACAGGAGTTAGAAACAAAGCTACACTCAGTTCCGTTAATGTAAAGCTTTCCGCTTCTGATCATGATTTTACAAAATGCTCTCTTATACCTTCAGTATCTCTATTTGTTAATATTCCAAAAAATATTTCTGAAAGCTTTTATGATGACAATGTTTATATTTCATATAAAGATTCAATTTTTGAACCCAATTCAGCTTTAAAACATTCATTAGAATAGTTACAAGCTTTAAAAGAACAATATCTTATTTTACCTGAAATTCTTTTAATTTATACTGATGGAAGTCTGGATCATCAATGTATTTTTAGATCTGTTCAAATAGTACTAATTTGTTTATTTTTACATAGTAATTTTGATTTTCTTGCTGCTATTTGGACTGCACCATATTAATTATGGACTAATCCTGCAGAAAGAATTATGTCAATATTCAATTTAGGATTACAAGGTGTAGCTATTCAAAGAGATAAATTAACATCTGAAATGGAAAATATAATGGGAAACTTAAAAACAATGGAGGATATTCGTAAAGCAGCAAAAACATTACAAAATCTTAAACCAGAATTGAAAGCAAGTATTTGAAATATACAAGAAAGGTTAGAATAACAGACAGAAAGATTAATTTTACATAATACAAACTTCAAAACTATGTTATCAGCAACAGAAAATGAGATAAACAGCTTTTTCAATGTAAATATATTATATTTATTATATTTCACAAGTTTAAACTTTAAAATTCATATTTTTTAATTATTTAACTACAGATATTAAATGAACGAATAGATAATACAGTATCTATAGATGATATAACTCAAAATAAGTTACGCAAATATGTTAACTTGCAAAATTTTATTAAAATACATTGTGTTTTACGTGAATATAGTTTTCAGGTAATATTATTATATTTATTATATATAGTGACTACCAAAAAAAACGCAAGTGTGATTGGTTACCTTTGAACAGCTATAACTTATCAACCACAAATGCTAGAAACATGATCTTGTACTTGTTTTAAAGCCCAAATCTTAAAGGATATCCTGGCGAATTTTTTTTTTTTTTTTTTTTTTTGAAGTGCGGCAGTTTTGCATGATCTTTATTAAATTTATAAA